TCATGATGAAGAATTTTTTTCTTATACCCATCCAGAATTTTCCTTAAGCACTTGGATCATTCTTTTTCTGTCACCAAACATCTTAATCACCAAACATCTTCAACTTCTCTCTAACCTTCTCCTTAGGTTTAGAAAATGTGATTAGATTCTGTGTAAGCTTTCCATTCTAGGTTGAACACCACCTTTTCCATCAATCTGCCTTTGTAAGTTAAGACTTACAACCTTCTGATCACCTTGGTGGACACTCTTAAATTTTAATGTCTCTCTTGAACCTGGAGGACCAAAACTGGACACAGTGTTCCTGGTGTGGCTTGACAAGTGCTACATAGTGTGGATTAATCACATCCCTTTTTCTGCTGGCTATAGTCTTGCTGATACAGTCTGTAGTTTGCTTTCCAACTGCAAGGTTGGGCTGCTTGCTTACTTTCAGTTTGCTGTCCTCTTGCTTCCATAAGTCCTTTTCAGATTAGATTCATGACCAGATGCCAATCTGGCCTTGAGGTATTAACTACCACCCTTCAAGATCAATATCTCAGGTAGTTCTCCACCTGTAGGTGTTCCATCTGTCCAGTTCATATCCTACCAATTTGTCATCAAGGGTGTTGTGAAAGACCACATTGGGCTCATATGGATGGGTCTTTATGAATGCACTCCTCGTATGCCATCCTTTTCCTTAGTGTAAACACCTAAGTAATGAGCTTACTGAAGTAATTCAGAAGTGGCATTTCATAGTCTGTGTGTTACAGATTGTCAGAATAAATGTACATGGTTCTTCCTTTGACCTTAAAGAAAAACTCATAAACCAAACACCTTTAAGAAAAATGGCCTATGTCTACTAACAATGCAATGCTCGGGAAAACAGAAGTCACATAGCTGTTAAAGACAGTGTCATACATGGAAAATAGTGTATTAGGACTGGGATCATGTGGGTTTGTTTTGTTTTTGTTTGTTGTTTTGTTTTTGTTTGTTTTTTTTCATAAAAATTGTAATGGTTTAATTCTTATGTGGTAGAGAGTGCTTTCTTAAATATATAAGAACTGGGCTTCAGAATATTTTTTACTTCACCCCTCCCCCCATTTAAAATTTAGTCTCAATCACCTTTAATTTTTCCTTTGTTACTCTTTTGAGTTTAAGTATTGCATGGGTGAAAGCAAAGCTGAAGTATTGTCTGTGACACCCAAATGCTTTTAGAAGCCAGGAAAGAAGTTGGAAGCTACCATTAAAATAAAAAATCTCAATACAGAAAAATATCAGAATTTCCCTGGCATGTTTTTCCTTGCATTTATCCAATCTTGTCTTGTATCATGAGGTCTCCTTCCCTGTCCTTTGATCTTTATTTATACTAGCATTCATTTAATGTCCTGATATTTTTGTAACCTTGTGATCTGGAGTCTCACTACTCAGTCATTTGTGTTTCCTAAGCAGTGCTTCAGGATAGAGCAGTGACTAACACATCACTAACGATGATTCCTTCTGTTTCCAGCCTCACATTTGTATATAGCATTAGATTAACTTAGAGTCTATGTCATGCTTAATTTTCTGGTCCCTGACATGCACAATTATCTTCCAATAATCTTTAACTTATGAATGCTGAGTATGTCATAGACAGTATCCTCTGAATATCATTGTAAGAGTTACAATTTTATGCACCAGGGAGATACATATTTTTTAAAATTTGCTTAAACTTTTTATTTCCTACTTTTCTGCTAGTTATCTCTTTATGCCAGTGAAATTCAAGCCTTGCAAAGCATAGACAGCTTTCTTACTACTCTGTCTTGTCTTCAGTGTTATTGAGGGAACACAAGCATGATAAATCATGTCACCACAGGTTATCTGATACAGACATCATTTCCAGTTGATTTCAACTTAGGTTGGATTTCCAGACAGTGATTTCCAGTTAGATGAAATAATATGGTGAACTAACCCAGATAAAATAATACACTTCATTGATGGTGTATATAAGTTGATTAACGAGACTGATTTGCACACAGTGAAAGAAGATGGAAACATAATGCAAATTTCAACATCTCCTTCTATCACTATGAATGACACAACTGTAACCACAAGAAGCAAATTGTACATATTGGAGTGTCAATCTCTTTAGTTCAATGTCAAATGGGCTCCTCTGCTTCTGATTATTCTGGCTTCTTGATTTTAGTCACTTGAGTCTGCTGAGTACTTTGCCAAACACTGAGGAAAACCACTTGTTGTATGTTCCTGAATCAAACATTTTTTCTTCTTCAGTTGAGCTATTCTCTTTTGCATGTAATAAATCCCATAACCTGTACTATGCACTTTTTTTTTGGCTACAAAGTTCTAAGCACTAGTCAGAATTTAGGAGTCACAAATAGATGATCTCTTGGTATCATTTCAGTTCTGACTTTTAGTTTTAGAGGTAGAAGAAAGCAGTGCAAAAACACTGGTGTTCCACCTATACAAGAATCACTGTGTACTTTCTATCACTCTTCTCAGCTTCACAGTAGTGAAGCATGTGTTCTGATGTTCTAGGGTTTGTGTTACCTTCTACAATCTCACTATTCATTTGTAGACTTTTTATCCTTTTATGTTTGTTTGTTTGTTTGATTTTAATTTTTCCACTAAGTGAGCTATCCTGCTCAGGACCTTTCTCTGATTTTGTTTGCAATTGTTTCCCTTCTTTTTCAAAACTAGCTGTGGCTTCATCCAATCTGATTAAATCAGCCTTCATAATATGAGCACTCTGTCCCTTAGAGGATATTGTATTTTTTTCATATGGAATCATAGAATGTTAAGGTTGGAAGGGGCCTTAAAGATCATCAGTTCCAACCTCCCTGCTATGAACAGGGACAGCTCACACTAGACCAGGCTGCACAAGGTCCAAGCCAACCTGGCCTTGAACACCTCCAGACAGGTGCATCTGCAGCCTCCCTGGCCAACCCATTCCAGTGTTTTGCTACCCTCATGATGAAGAACTTTCTGATGTTTAACCTAAGTCTACACTACCATTACCCTTCATACTATCACTGCTCTCTCTGGTTAAAAGCCTTTCCCCATCTATCCTCTAGGCAAGTGTTCTAGCTGTTCAATAGAGAGAAACCATCCCCCTAGTAACATTTTTTCATCCTGTAATTATTATTTTTTTAATTATTTTTTTTCCCCACCCAGAAATATAGAGATACAAGTCTTACAATTAATTCCTTATTTTTTATTTTATCTTATTTGTGTCAGCAACCAGTATCTAAAAGTTTACTAAAATTGTTTTCTCTGAAAATTTTTTATTTTGCTCATATTATTTGTAGTGGTTAAAATGTTAGGTTTGTATACTGGGTAAAGCATGTATGTAGAATAGTTAAATATAGGTTCTTGGTAAAATTTTACAAATCTTTCTAAGGTTAATTTGCCATCCTTTCTGTATTACAGAGTAAGTTAGATTCCTACAGAGCTAATGTGCATTGCTTAAAGTGTATTTTGTTACAGTGCAATATTAAATGCTTGCAATAATTAATTGGTTTTTGAAACAAGCCCTATGAGGAGAGATCATATCTATTTGGTCTTCTCTATTCTATGCACTCATAGTATATTGTGAAAAGAAATTAATTCCCCTATCATTGTTACTAAAAATCTTTCCAATTAACCACAGACTATACTCAGTTCAGTAACAATGTGTCCATGCAGAGTCTTCAAATTCTTCAGTTTTGTTAACACTGACATTGGAGTTAGTTAAATGCTTGATTTGCTAAGTCCTCAGGCAGAGTGAAATAACTCTTGGATTGTAGCTCTGCAGGGGGATAAAGTAATGTGTTGTTTTTTTTTTCTAAATAAATGTTATTTTAATTTCACATACACTGCTAATTCTTCTCTGGGGCAGAATTTATGGCTGCCAATCATTAGAAATTCAGAATGGTTTGTGGTGTCAATCTTTGTTTACTATATACAACAGAGCTGACGGCAACGTTGTTTTTAACGCTGACATTAAAAAAAGACTCCTTAAAAAGTCTTATTATACTAGTTCTCATGCTCTGTTTCTACATTTTGTACATTAGACAAGAATTAGCATTACTGAACATTTTCTGATACATCTTGAATTTGAAACATTATTAAACAGATGAACTAAATGTAATATAAAATGTCCACTACTTCTAAAACCTTCAATTTATCGAATATTTATCACTTCTTAATCACTATTCTACAAAGATGAGAAAAGTTAATATAGTTTTTTTAAAGAAGCTGAGATGGAAGAAAGAAACTAACTCCTCTACAGCTACACAACATCACTTTGTTCCAAACTACTGGCTCTCTCTTCCTATCACAAAAGTTCTTTGCGTTCTGGGAATAATAAAGCAGAAAACATACTAATTTTTAGGACTTTTAGTAGTCAACTTCAGAAAAGCAAGCTACTAGTAGTATGACCAGAGTGTGATAGCACCTCTTACTTAATTATTTTTCAAAGTATTTTTTCAGTGTACCATGGATAAAATACTTGCTGTCCTCTTCCTCACAAATGTTTGCTCCATATCCTGCCACCTGTAAGTGCTCTGAGTGTTTCAGTTTACCGCACTGTGCATTAGGTTTTCAGAATTGCTTGGAAGTAGCTAAGTGATTGAAATACAAGAAAAATTTCACAAGTGCCAGAAATTACAGATTATCCTATATCACTCATCAGTGTTGCTGATGAATTTGTCTACAGTGAAATACTTCATGGTTTTCCACTTATCTCTAATATTTAAAGGCCTTCCTCCTGCATAAAAAATTACAAAAAATTAAAGACTAGATAAACTAAAGATACTGTACATTTTTATTTTTTATTTTTTTGTCAGAATATGTCTAGCTGCTTAGTTTTACACAGGCAAGAGGAGAGGTACAGATGAGATGAAAGGTACAGGCACCCTAAGAAGAATAACTTAGGAAAACATAATGCACAGTAAAATATATTAAGAGCGCAATGTGCAACATGAGGATTTGCTTTCACTCTTCTAAGTATATCATTGTTATTCATGTTGCATCTAACATTTGTCTTTCAGAAATCAAAAATCTCCACTTACGACAAGATGTGGGCCTTCATGAGTAGCAGGAGACAGTCAGTACTTGTCAAAAGCAATGAAGAAGGTATCCAGCGTGTGCTTACCTCTGATTATGCATTTTTAATGGAGTCAACAACCATTGAGTTTGTCACACAACGGAACTGTAACCTAACACAGATTGGAGGCCTGATAGACTCAAAAGGTTATGGCGTTGGAACTCCCATGGGTAGGTTATGTGTCAACCATTTGTTCTCTGTTCATTAATCTTAGTTGCTGCAGTAGCACCAAAAACCTCCCATACATTGTTGCCTTCTCTAAATTGCTAACATTTTTTTCTCATTCTCTTTCTCTGACCTGGGAAAAATATTTCATATTTTATCAATGTATGTCCATTTCATTGAATTTTCTAAACAGAAAAAAAATAATAATTTTATAAACAATTGGACATTTTCATAAGGTAGATTTCTCTTATATGGTGCCTTCCATAAGATCAACGACAATGACAACAACAAGTACTTTTCACAGCACTTTATTTTATTGAAAAAAGTTTTCTAAAAGTTTATGCCTTTCTTTAGAGAATGAAGGCTTGTAATAGCCAGTTGGAGTAATACTTCTATACTAAGAAGGCTAATCACTGAGATTCTTAAGAGGACGAAAGATTCCATAGTATGCAATGTTTAATCCACAGAAAACAACAACAACAACAACAACAAAAAACCTGAATTAACCTTGTGGAATATGGTTTTGCAGAGCAATTCCAATCTTGCAAATATTTTCCAAGTCAGGTGTTCTTGACTAGGTGCAATACTTTAGTTGCAAGTTGCAGTTACCAACTACAGACATTAGCTTGTCTGCTAGAATCTGCAGGATGGGATACAATAATTTCAGTGACCATTGCCAGCTTATGTTAAGCTTCTTATCAAGAAGCACTCCCAAGTCCTTCTCCTCAGGACGGTTCTCAATCTATTGTACTCCCAAGCTGTAATTATGCTTCAGATTATCCTGGCCCAGGTGCAAAACTTTGCATTTGGCCTTGTTGAAGTTCATGAAGTTTGCAAGAGCCCACATCTCAAGCATGTCAAGTCACTCTGGATGTCATCCCTTCCCTCCAGTGTGTCACCCACACCAAGCAGTTCAGTGTTAATAACAAACTTGCTGAGGTTTCATTCAATGCCACTGTTCATATTGCTCACCAAGACATTAAACAGTGCTAGTCCCAGTAACAAGCCCTGAGAAATGTCACTTGTCACTGGTCTCCACTTGGACATCAAGTAATTGACTGCACCTCTTTGGGTGCAACCACCCAAACAATTCCTAATCTACCAAGTTGTCCATTTCTCAAGTCTGTGTCACTCCAATTTAGAGAAAGGATGCCATGCAGGACAGTGTCAAATGTTTTCCACAAGTCCATATAGATAATGTCAGTTGCTCATCCCTTATCCACCAAAGCTAACTGTATCATAGAAAGTACCATTTTTTCCTTAGTAAAGCCACACTGACAGTCACAAATCACACCCTTATTTTCCATGTGTCTCAGCATAGTTTCCAGGATGATCCGCTCCATGATATTGCTGGGCACAGAGGTAAGACTGGCCTGTAGTTCCCTAGGCCTTTCTTTTCCCCTTTTGAAAAATTTGGGTTATGTTTCCCTTTTTCCAGTCAGTGGGAACTTCAGGAGACTAACAACTTCTCCACATATCATGGATAGTGTCTTTTCAACTTCATCTGCTAGTTCCCTCAGGACCTTTGGATGTACCTAGTCAGGTCCCATGGAATTGTGCAACTTCATGTTCCTTAGATAGTGTATAACCTGATCTGCCCTTATTCTTGGTTGTTCTCCATTCTCCCAGTTCCTGCCTTTGCCTTCTGAGAGTTGAGCAGCGTGGCTTGAGTGCTCATCGGTGAAGACTGAGGCAAAGAAGTCACTGAGTACCTCAGCCTTCTCCATATCCTGGATAACCAGGTCTCCCATTTCCTTCCAGACAGGTCCCATGTTTTCCTTAGTCTTCCTTTTATAGCTGACATACCTATAGTAGCTTTTCTTATTGCCCTTGATGTCAGAGTTTTCACTTTTCTAACTTGACCCTTGGCTGCTTGGATGATTTCTCTGTTGTTCTCTGAGGCTATTTGTCCTTGCTTCTACCATCTGTAGAATTCCTTTTTGTGTTTGAGTTTGTCCAGGAGCTTAGAGGTGCTTGGAAACCTACAGTGTAATAGTTTCACAAAGCACATATTACTGTATTTGTTTATTTGGAAAGAAACAGATGTCTGAATAGAACAAATCAGAATTATTTGTGTTAGATACACAGTATCTGAAAGGTATAGATGTCATTTCAGCAAGTTTGCAAAAGAATACCCACTTTATTTTTATTTTTTATAATTTCTTCATTATCATCCAGTTTATCCTGGAATAGTGGCTTGAAGTTGCAGAAGTTTTTGCATATAAGATTGAATTTGTAGAATACAGCAGGTACAGGCCTTATGATGAATACAATCAAATGGATTTTGGTACTTTTGGAGAACACCATCAAAGGAAGTAGGAGTGACATAGCTTGTTCTTTTTGAAAACTAATAGAATAATAGTGAGAACATAATTTACTTGAATCTAAGTAGTTACTAGTAGGAAAGCTAAAAGCTTTGCTAACAGAAAAAAATGCTATCAGAGTAATTTATGATAAGATAATAACTTGGAAAATGCAACCACCCAAATACAGTACCAGCTTGGAGTACTACAGTAAAAGCTCTCTGCTTACGATGTGAAAGTTTTAAATTCCAAGAAAGAAAGTTGCACAAGATAAGAGGAAAAACCAGCAGATCAGGCAATTAATGTGTATCAAAGCCTTTCAAACAAAAAGCAAAATACATTATACAGGATTATTTGAATCCTTCTAAAAGCACTTGTGAAGTAAACGTTTACATTGCTAAAATGTAGCTTGATGAAGGAAATTATGTACTCTTGGTACAAAGTAGGATCACCTTTAGCATTCTGTATGGTATCTTTGCCAATAGCTTTAGTTAATATGTCACATATGACACCCAGAGCACTGAAAAATAAACTAGAAATAGTGAATTTAATGACTTATACATACAAGGAATTAGTCTCATGATACATGTTTATAAATGAAGGTAACCTACTTATATACTTGAATTAATTTTCAGTCAATCATCTCTGATGCTAGGCTAGAAGTGCTTCATTTATAGTAACATGAGAAGGGAAGGACAAGATCTAGGATGAGATGTTTGCCTGCAACTGATACTTTGGAGCAGGTAATGACAACCTATTTGTAACTGGGGTTGTGTTTGTTCCAGTTTCTTTTCTATCCTTGCAACTTTGTGTACAGGTTTGTAACCAGGAATCAGGTATCACTTGCTTTACTAGAGAACTTTTGGCTCAGAAAGCAAACAAAGTGGAGCAGGAGTGGAGGAGGGAGACAAACCTTTTGAATATGCAAAATACCTTCTGCTTTTAATGATGGACACTTTAAAATGTTGCTTATCACTTTCAGTAGTTATAAATGTCTCATTTCTTCATCATGCATGATAAAGGTGCTTAAAATTAGGCTTGGGCTTGAATATTCCCTGTTGGGATAAATTTACCACGGCAAAGGATCCCTACATTTTCAGGATACTTCCATATTCTTGTGGTCTTCTTATCAAAGTTAAAATGTAACTTATTTTTTTGAGAAAAAAAGTCTATCCAGAATCACATTTCATGCCCTGCTGAGACACAGTTAATATGGCTTTCTTACAGTCAACATACTGTAAAACACAATAATATTATGTGACAAATATTATTTTCCATAATGAGTATTTAAAAAAAAAAAAAAAGCAAATCTTCATCTCTCTGGAGTGGTTTCAGGTTCTTATTTCTTTTCCAAATTCCTTTTTCTCTTCAGCATGTTAGACAGCAGGCTGCTTTCCATCTGGCTTGGGCAGATTTGCTACTGAATTGCCAGTTACTTCTATGTTGAACGTTAAGTACATGTCAAGTACACCTGAAGTGTACATGTCAAACCCATTCCAGAACGAGCAGATCTACCACACATTTTAGATGATCTGCACTTACATGGCAAGCCAGGACTATCCTGTGCATGCCAGACAAACTCTGGACATGTGGAGATACATGCAGAGCAATGCCTTTGACATTTTAAAAACAATAAATGGTAGGTGTAAATCTTCCTAAAAATTTGCATATATTTATTGTAACTCTTAAGAAATACAAAGTAGAAACTAGTGTTTGAGAGATATGGCACCTACAAGAAACTGGAGGTAGTAATTACTATTTCTCTCTGATTGTTGAGCTGTGGAAAGTTACAGACTTAAATTAAGAGGGGGCTTTAGCCTGTCTAGCAGTGATGTTCCTACAATATCTGATAATTGTGAGGTAAAAAGAGAGTGAGAAAAGGGCACAATATACATTTTTAAATGTTTTCTTCCTGTACAGTTTTTGCAAGATAATAAATTGTGCTACTAACATTAATATCTCAGTTGTAAAACATAGTGAGTTAAATATGTTACCTGACTCTCTACACATTTTCTAGTTTTTTTGACTTAGCTTTTCTTGGCTGTGATCACAGAATCATAGAATCAGAGAACCATCAAGGTTGGAAAAGATCTTTATACCCCTTTGCTTTCCATGGTAATGGACCATCAAGATGCTCTGAAAAATGCTGGAAAGGCTTTGAGGCTATCTTTAGTATTTAATTGTTCACTTAAAAATTGTTAAAAAAAGAAATGTACACTGTCCCAACTATATAGAGACTCTTCACTGTACATGAGGGTGAAATACAATTTTCAGGATACAAATGAAATTAAGCAATGTATTTTGGGGTCAACATGCCAAGTGGATCAAGCTACCAATATTTCATTGCTGAGATAAGTCTTACAGAACTACTCATTATACAAAACTGCTATTACTTCCAATAGTAAAACAGATTCAAGTATCTAATATTATTCATATAAGTACATGGAATATGTCTGCACAGTGTACGTTTTTATATTCACAATAGAAAGCTGGAAACTGCTGTGGTATAAACAAGTTATACCTCCCATATCAAAAAGAAAAGTATTTGAATAAATTAAACAGCCTCCTAGCACAGATACATGGGCTACAGGCCCCAGATATCAGTGTACCCACTTAAGTGCAAAGGATGAAGCAAAACTTCAAGACTCTCATATTCTATTGATTCAGAGGTGCTATTTTTTGGGAAGTTTTCTTTTCTGCAA